AATTCCCATCTGTACTGCTGTGCATCATCTGGTCTAACCAGGTCTGCAAGGCAGAATTGGGGTTCTGGTAGTTGGGGGGGTCTGCAATTTCTTGCTAAACTGTTTTCTGATGTTTTTTCATAGCTGCCTAATAGTCCATGGACCTGTTTTCAATGGTTGGTTTTTAGAGGGAAGTAGGTCACCGCTAGGCTTGGCGAGATGGTGAATGCCCTCAGTGGGTAACTGACAGAGAGGGGATTCAGGACCACCTGCGGGTGCCTTGGAAAAGAGTCCTGGCAGAACGTTAACGTGTTTTGGAGGCTCCCTCTAATTGTGTAATTTGCTTTCAGGAGTAAATAATTCCTTTTTTTTTTTTTAAAGCCACATTAGACATCAAAATTACCTTAGGTCACTTTCGCTAATTTACATCTCTGGACAGGGCGAACGGTGTTTTCTGTTTGCTTGTGTGTTTTAGAAAAACAACAGCACCTTGCCTGAACATGATTTTTCCGAAGTTAATGTATCGATAAATATATTCGAGACCTTGTTGGATTACTTTAATTGCACAATCAGAACGTGTGACTTCAATTGCTTGAGCTCGCCAGCATTCCGTGTGCTCATCTTTCTCATGGTGAGGCCTGGCTGCCCTGCCGAGAGTCCAGCTGTGCTGTTCACCCGTCTTGATCATTTCTTGTGCGCCAGCTCAAGGCAAAGGACCAGAAGTGCCACTGTGTAGAGAGATGACATGCCTGTACCCGCTTGCACTTAATCAAACAGTATATGGGGATTTATAATCGCTTGTATTGTTTCACAAAATAAATCTCATGTTGAGCAAAAAAGACCTGACGATCCATGTGTGAACAACTAGCCACCCCAAAGCCCAGGATGTGCAGTTCCCCGACACCCTTGGGGTTGGACACAGGTTGGACTTAACTTGATGACAACTTGGTGGGGGGTTTTGTTTAGTTTTGTTTTTTGGGGGGGGGATTTGTTTTGTTTTGTTTTTCACACACATTCTCATAACCTGGTGCCTCAGTCACCACTTTGGGGTTAGAGAACTAGAGGGAGGAATCTTGGGTTGAAGGGGATGTACATTTTTTTTTTTTTTTTTTTTTTTTTTTTAAAAAATTAGATTTTCCTTTATTTAAAAACAAAGAACTCCTTACTCCCCCTCTTTTCAGCCCCTGGTAACCACGGATCTTCTTTTTTTTTTTTTTTTTTTTTTTTAAACATTTTATTAGGGGCTCATACGGGGATGTACATTTTAAATCAATGCAGATATGACTCGATTGCTTTCCAAATAAGTGATAAAACTCTAGAACCAAGCTCACTGCCATCGAGTGGGTGCCGGCTCAAAGCAACCCTACAGGACAGGTAGAACTGCCCCTGTGGGTTTCCGAGACTGGCACCCTTTATGGGAGTAGAAAGCGCTGACTTTCTCCCTTGGAGCAGCTGGTGGTTTTGAACTACTGGCCTTGCGGTTAGCTGCCCAACACGTAAACACGATGCCACGGGAATGCTAGCACTGCACATTTCTGTCACCAAGCCTTCTTAACCACCTGTTGGTGTTACCAAATGGAACCACAGTGTCGATTCTGTCTCAGTGAACCTATACACCTGTAGAGCAGGGGTTCTCGACCTTCCTAATGCGCGATCCTTTAATACGTTCCTCATGCTGTGGTGGCCCTGTATGCGGGCACACCCGTCTGGAGATGAATAGAGGACGGGTGTCTCAGAGCCTAAGACCATTGGAAATATGACTCCTGTGAAAGGGTCGTTTGACCCCCAGGTTGAGGACCGCTGCTCTATAGGGTTTCTGAGACTGTCAGTCTGTACGGGAGCAGACAGGTTTATCTTTCTCCTCTCTGCTGCCCTGGTGGTTAGCAGTCCAGGACGTGACCCACTATGCCACCCGGGTTCTTGCTCAAGGTCCGTGGTTCTCAACCTGTGGCTCGCGACCCCTTTGGGGGGGGGGGTCAAACAACCCGATTCATCACAGTAGCAAAATGACAGTGAAGAAGTAGTAACGAAAATAATGTTACGGTTGGAGGGGGTCCCCACCGCATGAGGAGATGTATGAAAGGGTCATTAGGAAGGTTTAGAACCGCTGCTCTAGGTGTAACAACCTTAAACAGTATTTAGTATAAAATGCCCCCCTACCCCTGATTGGAATGACTTTGAGTAGACAGAGCAAACAGTCTGTTGAGGGGTTGTGTGCCGATCCCAGTTTTTTAGCCCTTCCTCTGTGGGGCCGTTTGTACCCACATTTGTGGGTACATTTGTGAGAACCCTTAGCTTGTTAGAGTTGTTAGAATGATGAATTCCTTCTCAGTCAGCTCTGTTAGAAATGTTTACTGTTGGGATGTGTCATGAAGTCCTTGTCTTCGGGTGTCTGGGGTACTTTGCTTTACACGAGCCCTTCCTTGATGTGGGCGGTGGCTGTAAACACGTTATTTCCCCCCATCTATGCCCCGTCGTCCTCCTGGGATAAATGTGGATAGTAATCGTATCCCTTGTAAGGTGCCTGGGAAGATTAAATTATGGTTTCTATTTCAGGGGCTAGCGCAGTGTCTGGCACACGGGGAGTTTCTACAAGCGCAGCTGATGCTGTTAAATACTGCTGTTGTCATCCCCGAAGCCACCCATTCTGTCTCTGTTGCTAGGGCTGGGGACCCACTCTCCCTGCTCACCCCTTAACTGACCCCACCCCCCATTTTGCTCCCTGCAGAAATGCTGCCGCCGCCACCTTAGGCCCCCCTGGGATCAGGCGCTATGGGGCCTTGGGCCCTCACATCTCTCCTCTTGGTGCTCCTGGGGGTGACTGGAGACGCTGACATGAAGGGGCACTTTGACCCCGGTGAGGAGCTCGGATCCTGGGGCCATGAGAGCTGGGGGTGGGGAGGCAGAGGGTGGGGGCCCTTGACATGCCATATGTCTCTCTTCACCCAGCCAAGTGCCGCTATGCCCTGGGCATGCAGGACCGGACTATCCCTGATGGTGACATCTCAGCCTCCAGCTCCTGGTCAGACTCCACCGCTGCCCGCCACAGCAGGTACCTGGCACACCTGGGCTGCCCCGGAGGGAGCTCCTGGGGCCTCTGCCTCCCCTTCCAACCCCTTTCTACCCAAGTCAGAAAGCTCATGAGAGGCCCTCTACCAATAACCCCCCTGCAGTCATTAACTCATCTCCACCCTTCAAGGACAGAGCCGAACTGCCCCTGTGGGTTTCCAGGGCTGCACATCTGTACGGAAACAGGAAGCCTCATCTGTCTCCTGTGGAGAAGCTGGTGCAAAACCCACTGCCCCGCCTGGGCTCCTCTGCAGTCCATGGGGCGGGGGGCCAAGAGAGGGCCAGAGATTCCTGATGGCCTCTTCTCCTTGCAGGCTGGAGAGCAGTGACGGCGATGGGGCATGGTGCCCCGCCCAGCCGGTGTTTCCCAAGGAGGAGGAGTACTTGCAGGTGGATCTCCAACGGCTGCACCTGATCGCTCTTGTGGGCACCCAGGGGCGACACGCTGGGGGTCTGGGCAAGGAGTTCTCCCCCAGCTACCGGCTGCGTTACTCACGAGACGGCCACCGCTGGATGGACTGGAGGGATCGCTGGGGCCAGGAGGTGAGGTTGCCGGGGCAGAGCCCAAGGCAGGCAGGCCCCCCAGCTCTTCTGCTTGCCTCTGGAACCCTGACAACACCCCAGCACCCACCAACCCCCAGCCCAGGCACCTGCCCCAAAGGTCATCCTGGACCGCAGACCTGCCCACCTTCCGGACCTCGCCACCTGGGCATCTCATGACATCCTGAACACACCCGTTAACTTCCCCAGCCGCACTTGAGTTCCACCCATCCCAAACCGGCTCCTCCCAGCATCATCCAGCCCAGAAAATAGCAACATCTTTTGCCCAGTTGCTCAGGCCCTGAACTAAGATGCTAGCTCCAGTACCTCTTTCTCTCTCTCTCCCCAATGCACACCAAACCTCAGTCCAGCGGTGTCCCCCTACTTCTCCTTCCACCTCCACAGCCCCGGGCTCAAAGATGTCCCACTTCCTCTACAAGTCCCTAGTGTGGTGCCCTGCTCAGACGACTCCACCCGCCTCTTCTGGGGTGGGGGTGGGGGTGAGGTTGAGGGAGAGGGTTCTTGCTTCTCCCTGACCCCACTAGTATTGTCTCAGTTCCTGAAACAGGTCAGGACTCATCCCACAGCCTGCAGCATTTTCACTTGCTCTTCTGGTTCCTGGAAGGCTCCTCCCCCATGAGCACGCTCTCCCTCCTTCCACCCACAATTGCCCCAGAGCTCATCCCCCAGAGAGCCTCTTCTGAGCCCTGGGCCCCCATGCCCTGTCCCCTCCTCGGCTGCTTGTTCTTCCCTGACGGCTTCACCTGGAATCAAAGTCCTATGGGGGAGGGGACTGTGCCTGCTGGTCACCCTGGGACCATGCCTGGCACAGAGGGGGACCGTTGAATGACCAGAGGGGAGGGGGTGGCAGGGGTAGGGCCTGCCAGAGCTGGGCTGCTGAGCCACGAGGGAGGGAGGGAGGCATTGAGTAGAATGCTGAGCTCACCAGGGACGGGCAGCTTTGAGAGCCATGGCTGGAGCCAGGCCAGAGGAGAGGAGGGAGCTGACACTGGAGGGATAAGATTGCCGACAGGGCTCACGGGGTGGAGTCAGAATTGGCGCTGGCCCACGGCCCTGTCTGCACGGTGCCACTGTGTTCTTGCTGGCTGCTATGTCAGCTGACCAAGGAGGTGACGGGGGCGATAGATCCCATCCCAGTGCCCTTCCCCTGTTTCCTGGCCCACAGGTGATCTCGGGGAACGAGGATCCCGGAGGTGTGGTACTGAAGGACCTGGGCCCCCCGATGGTGGCCCGACTGGTTCGCTTCTATCCCCGGGCTGACCGGGTCATGAGCGTCTGCCTGCGGGTGGAGCTGTATGGCTGTCTCTGGAGCGGTGAGTCACGCAGCACCCCTGAGAATCCTCTTCTGGGGACAGTGGGGTGGGGGGTGGAAAGATAGACATCTAAGACCCCTTCTGGTGGGAGGCAGTCAGTCACCTGAGGGAAGAGCTGAGTGGCCTATGTGGCCTCCTCACGGCAGAGGACCCATGTGGGTGCGAGGAAGAGAATGCAGGGTGGAGGGCAGAGGTCCCCCCCATCTGCTAACACCCTCTTCCCACCCTGCCCAGACGGGCTCCTGTCTTACACAGCCCCTGTGGGGCAGACCATGTACCTCTCTGAGGCCGTGTACTTCAACGATTCCACCTACGATGGACACACCGTCGGCGGGTGAGCGGAGCAGCCCTGCAGGAAGACAGGGGCCAGGGCGGGCGGGAGGCGGAGTGAGGGGAGGGGGGCCTGCACCATGCCATGGGCACACTGGGAGGGGGGATGGCCTTCCTGGGCCTTCAGGGACAGACACAGGAATGTCAAGTCATCACTCGCCCATATAATACCTTTGTGCCCAATTAGAAAAAGGTGCCCCTTCCCTAAGACATGGGAGAAAGGCAAAGCTCTCTACACTCCTATAAAGAGTTACAGCCTCGGAAACCCACAGGGCAGTTCTACCGTGTCCTGGAGCAGCGGTCCTCAACTGTGGGTCTCGACCCCTTTGGGGCTTGAATGACCCTTTCACAGGGGTCACCAAAGACCATCAGAAAAACATAACTATTTCACAAGATATAATTACCTATGTTTTGTGGTTCATCAGTATCCTCTAATTATGTTTAATGATGTTCAATTTGTAACAATGAACATACATCTTGCCTATCAGATCTTTACACGATGATTCACAACAGTAGCAACATGACAGTGATGAAGTAGCAATGCAAATAATGTTATGGTTGGGGGTCCCCACCACATGAGGAAGTGTATGAAAGGGTCGCGGCATGAGGCAGGTGGAGACCCACTGTCCTAGAGGGTGGCTCTGGGTCAGAATGGACCCCATGCAGTGGGTGTGCGCTCGGACACATCTATGGGAAGTGAGTGCGCCAGACATCATAGATTGGTCTTAGATGGATGCCGCCCCCTAGATTGGTGCCCTCTGCATGGTACCCGTGATGGTGCTGGGGCGGGAACAGGGCCTCTGGCTGGGGCCAGGCCACCCTGTGTGTCTGTGTCACCAGAAAGGTCCCCCTCCTCTCCCGACCTCCCCCTCCTCTGTCTCCTCGGGCCAGGCTGCAGTACGGGGGACTGGGCCAGCTGGCGGACGGCGTGGTGGGGCTGGATGATTTTCGGAAGAGCCAGGAGCTGCGTGTCTGGCCAGGCTATGATTTTGTGGGCTGGAACAACCACAGCTTCCCCAGCGGCTCTGTGGAGATGGAATTTGAGTTCGACAGACTGAGGGCCTTCCAGGCCATGCAGGTGAACCATCCGGCTTCTCAGAGGGGGGCTCTGAGGCCCAGGTGGGTGCCCACTGGGCGCTCCTGGCCTTGACTTGGTGCCCCTCCTGTCTGCCCCCGCAGGTCCACTGCAACAACATGCACACGCTGGGCGCCCGTCTGCCTGGCGGGGTGGAGTGTCGCTTCAAGCGGGGCCCAGCCATGGCCTGGGAGGGGGAACCCGTGCGCCATGCCCTGGGCGGCAGCCTGGGGGACCCCAGGGCCCGGGCCGTCTTGATACCCCTGGGTGGCCGCGTGGGCCGCTTTCTGCAGTGCTGCTTCTTCTTCGCGGGGCCCTGGCTGCTCGTTAGTGAGATCACTTTCACTTCAGGTGAGCCTTCGGGCCACGCGCAGGCCCCGCCCGAGGGTCGACTGCTAGTGCCCCATAGCCATGCCTGGGTGCCCCAATCAAATCCCGCCCTTCCCCTCCCTGCCCATCTGGATAGCAGTGCTTATTGAAATACTGAAACACTCCTGCTCCCGCTTGGGAAATGGCCTCTTCCCTAAGCTTCCTGATCCTCTGCACTGCAGGAGCCCACCCCCTCCCCATAAGCCACAAGGTTGGTGGTTCAAACTCCCCCGTTGCTCTGCTGTCAGTTCCCGGAAAGGTTTGTCATATGACAACAGTGTCCTTGACTTGGTTTTATGGGAGTTGACAGCTGGCACACCAGGAGGCCCCTGGGACTCTGACCTCTCCCACACTTCTGACTGGTTGCTGTCCGGCTGCTCACCTACATAGATCGAACACCACCCCAGCCCCACTGCCTGACCCACCAACTCGATTCCAAAGGCCTCCACCAAATGGGTCCCTCTTTAATCCCCTGGGGTGGAGCCCTGGTGGCGTAGTGGATTCACATTGGATCACTAACCACAAGGCCGGCAGTTCGAAACCAGCAGCTTCTCTGTGGGAGAAAGATGAGGCTTTCGACTCTCCTAAAGAGTTACAGTCTTGGAAACCCACGGGGGTGGGGTGGGGGTGGGTGGGCGGTTCCGTTCTGTTCCGTGCAGCTGGGTCGCTGAGTCTACGCCGACCCAATGGCAGCTAGTTCATCTCATTAGCTGACTCCTTTCCCCTCTCTCTTCACCCCAGATGTTGTGAATGACTCATCCCCAGCTCTGGGAGGCACCTACCCACCCGCTCCCTGGTGGCCCCCGGGCCCACCGCCCACCAACTTCAGCAGCCTCGGTGAGCATTCAGTGGGCCCCTCCTCCCCAAGCTCCCCCGACTCAAGCTGGGTGGGGAGCTGCCTGCGATTCTGACCCCTCTGTGTCCATCAGAGCTGGAGCCCAGGGGCCAGCAGCCCGTGGCCAAGGCGGAGGGGAGCCCGACGGCCATCCTCATCGGCTGCCTGGTGGCCATCATCCTGTTGCTGCTGCTCATCATCGCCCTCATGCTCTGGCGGCTACACTGGCGCAGGCTTCTCAGCAAGGTGGGCGGGCTCGGAGCGAGGAGGGCTGGACCAGTGTTAGGGCTTCCTCCCTATGTTAGTCAGACCCCGCCTGGGACCCAGCGCTCTGTCCAATCAGGATCCTCAGTGGAGGGTTGAATAAAGAGACCACGTATGAAGGAGCAGGCATGGTGTGGGGCAGTCACAAGGAATATGCCGTGCTCAAGGCCAGGCACGTGCCACACACATGCCTGCGTGTGCCGGGGTGGCAAGAGGAGAAGGCTGCTGGAGGAGGGTTGGGGCTTTGGTGCGGGGCTGCCGCCAACCCAAGTCCACTCCTCCAGGAGCAGCTTGGGGAACCCAGCCTCACTTCCTACCTTCCTCCAAACGCCAGCTGAACGCAGTCCATGGGGATCAGCCTCTTGGGGCAGATGCGGGGTGGGGAAGGACACAGAGTGGGAGACAAGGGAACCAGAAGACGTCTGGCGCAGTCCAGGCGCATGTTTTCTGGGCGACAGTCCACTGGTCTTGACACTTAAGGTGGATAACGATGGACAGGCCAGATTGGGGTTGGAAAGCCCTTGTGGGACAAGTTATGCAAATGCTCTGGGGCTTTGGCTCCCTGCGGGACACGCAGCAGGTGCCACGAGGAAGCTGCAGGAGGGTTGTCCACAGGGAGGCCATGGTGGCGGCTGGGAGGTGTGGGCCGAGCAGAAGCAGAAGCCGTACCCAACATTTCCACTCCACATGCCAAGGCGGAGCGCCGGGTGTTGGAAGAGGAGCTGACGGTTCATCTCTCCGTCCCTGGGGACACCATCCTCATCAACAACCGCCCAGGCTCCCGAGAGCCACCTCCTTACCAGGAGCCTCGGCCTCGTGGGAATCCACCCCACTCTGCCCCCGCTGGCTCTGGTAAGACCTGCCCTGTTCCAGTCCCACTCCCCTGTCTTCTCCGTCGGCCTGTTTTCTTCTCGTATCCTGGTTCTTCTCTTTCCCATCCCCTTCTTCTCCTGCCCTTCCCAGTTTCAACTCATTTTCCTCTTTCTGTGGCCCTGGCCACCCTCTAGATTATTCCCTGCCCCTGCCATATGACCACCGTATTACCAAGCATTCCCCATGTAGTCCCCATAATCCTCCTTAGCCTTATCTCGTCCCTGTGTCCCACGTACAGCTCTTCCTCTTCTCTCCAGGACTCTCTCATTGTGTCTCCCTGGCCCCCCACTCCCTTTCTCCTAGAATCACCATGTTTCTTATGGCTGACCATCTGACCATCCTTCTAGGTACCCGTCCATCCATCATCTGCCCATCCATCTGGAGACAGATGTGCCCACTCATCATCCATCGTCCATCCATGTACTCTTCCATCCATTCTTCACCCACCCACCCACACAGACACGTATCCGGTTGTCATCCACACACTATCGATCTATCCTTCGCTCCTTCCTCCATTGAGCCATCCTCCTGTCCATTGTCCAGGCAGCTGTCCCTCACTCTCCAGGCCCTTGCTGTCCCCATCCATCCTGGTCTTGCCCTATTTGGGATCTCCCTGTCTGTCCAGCCTTGAGTCTCACCCCTTCCCCGTGTCTCCCCCGCCCTCCTTCTCCCGACAGCGCTGCTGCTCTCCAATCCGGCTTACCGCCTCCTTCTGGCCACTTACGCCCGTCCCCCTCGAGGCCCGGGCCCCCCCACACCCGCCTGGGCCAAACCCACCAACACCCAGGGTAAGCCCCTCTGCCCCTGGGCTCTCCCAGACTCCCCAGACCCCCATGGGGCAGGGACAGCCCTCACACCTTGCACTCCCTCTTTCCTGGCCCAGAGCCTCTCCCACTCCCCTCAGCTCCCAAGGAGGATGCTCCCTGCCCTTAGCTTCTGCTCTGCCGCCTCTTGCTCCTTCGGAAAGACGGCTCTCCCTTGAACCTAGGAATAGACAGCCTTCTGGGTCTCAGCTCCTGCACCCCCTCCTCTTCCACCCCATCTCTTCAGCTCTCCAGAGCCAGCGAGGAGGTTGCTACGGTGGCCCCCGCTGTCTTGTAACCCCTCCTTTATTCTCCCCTCTCTCTAGAGCTTCCAGGAGGAGGGCCTCTCACCCTGGGCGCTTGCCCCCTTCCCCCCGCGTGTCTTCTCTCTGCAGTCCCAGAGGTGAAGGTTCACGCCCCTGCCCGGTCCCCATCTGCTCCTCCTCCTCCTCCTCCTGCTCCTCCGTGTCACCTTGCTTGTTGTTTTCCTTTCTGCAGAGCTAGAGGCCCGGCTCGGCCTCCTCGCCTCTGTGTGTAGACTCCTTAAGGGACTGTTCCCACTCCTCTCTGTGTGCTCCTGTCTTGCTTGTCTGGGAGCTCCTTGGTGTGGCGCCATAAGGAGGGTGGCAGGAACCACGTGGCACGAGCCTGGCTCCCAGTCGGGGGGCAGAAATGCTGAGGGAAGGGAAGAGAGTTAGGGAGGAGGGGTGGGCGGGGTTGGAAAGTGGAGGGCCCCTGGGTGGCTGGGCCCTTCCTTCTGGAGGAGAGTCCAAGTGTTCTGTTTCCAGCCAAGAGTCTCCTTCCTGGGCATCCCGAGAAGGAGATGCCGCAGCGACAGTCTGCTCGGCCGCCTCTATTGCCCTGGGATGCTCAGGAGTGGCTAGCCCTCCTCCCGTGCAGCCAGGGAGGGCACTGTGAGGACCAGCTCGGAGACGGGCCTCTGGGACACGTACAGGGGCGATGTGCGGCTCTCCAGCTGTGGCGCTTTGCCTGACGGGCCCTCCTCTCTTCTCTCCCCTCACCCTCCAGCCTGCAGCGGGGACTACATGGAGCCGGAGAAGCCGTGCGCCCCGCTTCTGCCCCCGCCTCCCCAGAACAGCGTCCCCCATTATGCCGAAGCGGACATTGTCACACTGCAGGGCGTCACTGGGGGCAACACTTACGCTGTGCCTGCACTGCCCCCGGGGGCAGCTGGGGAAGGGCCCCCCAGAGTGGATTTCCCCAGGTCTCGCCTCCGTTTCAAGGAGAAGCTCGGCGAGGGCCAGTTTGGGGAGGTGAGATGGGTCCCTGGCCAGCCCGGCTGGGGCTCCGTCACCAGGCCTGCCCCTCCCCCATGTCCAAATGCCGCCCCGGACCTGTGACGGTGTCTCCCTGTTGACCTGCTTTCCCCAGGTGCACCTGTGCGAGGTCGAGAGCCCTCAAGATCTGGTCAGCCTGGATTTCCCCCTGAATGTGCGCAAGGACCACCCCTTGCTGGTGGCTGTCAAAATCCTGCGGCCAGATGCCACTAAGAATGCCAGGTGAGGAGCCAGGCGGGGAGGGGAGGGGCGCCCCAAGAGCAAAACGTGGTGGAAAATCCCAGAGGACAGGCAGGGACTGGGAGAGGGGACTGCAGATCCAACAGGGCTGCTGCGGCTTGGGGTGGCTGGGTCACTGTGAGCAGGAGGGGGGGGCGCGGGTCAACCCATGGGTGGCCTTCTTCTCCACCCACCTCTTCCTGCTCCCCCAGGAACGATTTTCTGAAGGAGGTGAAGATCATGTCACGGCTGAAGGACCCCAACATCGTCCGGCTCCTGGGAGTGTGCGTGCAAGACGACCCTCTCTGTATGATCACGGACTACATGGAGAACGGTGACCTGAACCAGTTCCTCAGTACCCGCCACCTGGAGGACAAGGCAGCCGCGGGGGCTGCCCAGGGGCCCACCATCAGGTAACCCGCCTACTCAGGGCTGGGCCTCCCCCAGCCGCCCCCCCCTAAAGAGATCTGCCCAAGTCGGGAGAGGATGAGGGGACGGTATGGGGAGAGGCAGGTGGGGGCTGCAGGAGGACCCCAGGGTGAGGAAGATGGAGCCATGCTGACCTGGGAACTTGGGGGACAGAAAGCTGGAGATGGGGCAGTGGGGCTGGGGAAGGCCTAGGGCCGGCCCCCCTCGTCCGCACTCTCTTTGAGTTCAGACTGGGAAGCATCATGAGATGGAGTTCCCCAGGGTCACACAAGTCAAGGGTGGGTGGGTGGTGGTGGAGTTAGATGGGAACCGGGCACCTGGCCTCAATAGAGTAGCAGCCCGTGTCCAGGGGCAACCCATCTCCACTCGTGGGCCTCTTTCCTGCCTTGATGGCCCTCTGTGAAGCAGGAGGAGCCAGTGCCCCTACAAGGCCTCTCTGTTGTCACCCTCCCTCAGCTACCCGATGCTGCTGCACGTGGCGGCCCAGATTGCCTCGGGCATGTGCTACCTGGCCACACTCAACTTTGTGCATCGGGACCTGGCCACGAGGAACTGCCTCGTTGGGGAGAACTTCACTATCAAAATCGCTGACTTCGGCATGAGCCGGAACCTCTATGCCGGGGACTATTACCGTGTGCAGGGCCGGGCGGTGCTGCCCATCCGGTGGATGGCCTGGGAGTGCATCCTCATGGTGAGGCGCGAGGAAGGGGGCCCGGGGCGGCTTTTCTGGAGAGCATGGGGCCCCCTCCAGTCATTCTCCTTCTCTGTCTGCATTTGTCCGTCTGTCTAGTGTGGTTCAGCCTGGCAGGTTCCCTCTGACTCAGAGAGCCATTCCCCGAGCTAAGACAGGGGATGAAGTCAGGGTGCAGGGAGCAAGAGGGCTACCGGGAAGAGGATGCCCAGATGGAAGGGGCTGGGTCAGGAGGCAGAGGGCACGACTCGGGTCGGGGGATGAGGAGAGAGGAAGGAAAGGCAGCAGAAGGAAGAGCTGAGCCTGGAGGGTGTGGAGCCCTCGGGCAGTGGCAGCCTTGGTGGGAAAGTGGGGTGGCTGTGGGAGATGCTCCCGGGCTAGGGAGGTGTGGGGGAAATGCTCCTTGTGGGTCGGGGCGGAAGGTCTTCAGGGCCTGATCCCTTCTCTGCCCTTGTGACCCTGTCTGTGCACCAGGGGAAGTTCACGACCGCAAGTGACGTGTGGGCCTTCGGGGTCACCCTGTGGGAGGTGCTGATGCTCTGCCGGGCACAGCCCTTTGGGCAGCTCACTGACGAGCAAGTCATCGAAAACGCCGGGGAGTTCTTCCGGGATCAAGGCCGGCAGGTCAGAAGGCCGGGGCGGGGAGGTGCGTGGGTGGCGGTGGGGGGACCTAGGAGGGCAGAGCCCGTCAGCCTGTTGACTAAGGAACGTCTGCCCCCTGCCTCTCGCCCACCCTGCCACCATCCAGGTATACCTGTCCCGGCCCCCTGCCTGCCCGCAGGGCCTGTACGAGCTAATGCTGGGGTGCTGGAGCCGGGAGCCCGAGCAACGGCCTCCCTTTGCCCAGCTGCACCGATTCCTGGCGGAGGACGCGCTCAACGCGGTGTGAATCCGGCGTCAAGCCGCCTCACCCTCAGGGAGGATTCAGGGGAAACACAGATGAGGACACTCCTGCCCCCACCCCCTCCCTGCACCTCTCAATCCTGTGGCTGCTGGTGGGCTGGCCTGCCCAAGGAGCAGCGTCCCCCGGCAGACACACTTCCTTCCCGTTCCAACCCCATCTCCACTCCTAGACGCCCCAGACGGCCACCCACCCAGCTGGCCCTGTGGATGGGATCCTCTCTGACCTCTTCCAGCTCCCCCTCCGGGGAGCGTGGGAGCAAACACAGGGCAGACACTGGACATGGCCCGAGGGGGCACCGGGGCCCCACTGGATAACACTGGTTCTTGGAGAGATGGCTCTGGCCCGCCCCTCCAGCCTCTCTCTTTCCTGTCACGCACTGGACTTCACTGGCTGAGGATGGGGGCAGGGATGAGGAGGACCAGAAGGGGACAGCCATGCCCCGGTGCCCACTACAGCTCTATCTTCTCCATCCTCCATCCCTGGAAACACTGGACCTGGGGTGACTGAAGCCCTGACCCATTCCCCCCCACTTTCCTCCTGCCATGTTGTAGCGAGACCTTCTCTATGTCTGTACAGTTCTTTGGAAGAAATACTAGGAGGAATAAAAGTTAGGGGGCAAAGAGCGAGCAATGGCCTGTGGCCCTGGGTTTGGACATCTCTATTGTAGCTGCCACATTGGTTTTTCTATAATCACTTATAGGAGGGTTTGTACATTTTTTGGGGGAGAGACACAGATTTTTACACTAATATATGGATTTAGCTGGAGTCAATTTTAATCCCCTGCTCTAGGCAGGTAATAATAAAGGTTTGAGTTTTCCACAGTTGTGAGTTGGGCTTTTTGGGGGTTCGGGAAAGTCTCCCTCTGGCCTCCTCCCATCTCATCTCCTCTGCTTCCTACTCTTCCTCTTCCTGTCCCCATTGTATCGATTCCACCCCGGCATCCAAGTCCACACCACACCTCCAGTCGATGAGTGGATTCATGTTGTTATTGGGCACCGCCAACTTGGCTTTGACGCACAGGGACCCCCACGTACAGCAGAGTGAAATGCCGTCCAGTCCCGGGCCACCCTCACGCTGTTGTTGAGCCCACTTTTGTCAGCCCGTCTCGTCCAAGGTCTTTGTTGCTGTCCCTCCAGCTTAGCAAGCACGTAGGCTTTCTCCAGGGACTGGTCTCTCTGGATAACACATCCAAGGTCTATGTGAGCCGGATCCTCACTTCCAAGGAGCACTCGAGCTGTACTTACAAGACAGTCTATTTTGGCAGTCTACAGCGTGTTCCATAGTAATTCAAATGCCTCGGTCCCTCTTTGGTCTCCCCATTGGGTGTCCACCCTTCACCTGTGCGTGAGGGGATTGAAGGCACCATGGCTCGGGTCAGGTGTTCCTCAGCTCTCAACGTGTCTTTGTTCTCGAACACTTTTAAGAAATCTTGTGCAGCAGATTTGCCCAGTACAATACATTGACTTATTGACAGCTGCTTCCCTGGGCATTGATTGTGGATCCAAGGACGACAAAGTCCTTAATAACTTCAATCTGTTCCCCAGTTATCAGGCTGTATTCTATTGGCCTGGCTGTATGCTTGTTTTCTTAAATTGAGTTGCCATCCTTCCCGAAGGATGGCGTCCATCTCCTTCATCACCAAGTGCTCGAGTCCGCCACGCTTTCAGCAAGCAAGGTGGGACCATCCGTGCAGCCAAGTTTGCCAGGGAGCTTTCTTTCCATCCTGATACGCACCCGGCGACTGTACAGGACAGACTAGAGCCATTCCTCAGGGTTTCTGAGAGTGTACATCTTTACGAGGGCGCGCAACCTCATCTTTCTCTAGTGGAGTGGCTGGTGGGCTTGAACCGCTGACCTTGTTGTTAGCAGTCCAGTGTTTCACCTCTACCAAGACCCCTCCTGGTACCAGTGAGTCAGCTTCGACTCACAGGGACTCTGTGTACAGCGGGACAGAACACTGCCTCAGCACAATTGTTACATTGTGCCCATTGTTGCAGTCATTGTTTAATCCATCTCAGTGAGGGCCTTTATCTTTTCTGCTAACCTGCTACTTTACCAACCATGGGGACCTTTTCCAGGGACTGGTCCCTCCGGGTGACACATCATATTCTGGATAGAAAGAGTGGTGATGTCTGTAAGTGACAAGTCACTATTAAGATTACTGGAGCACCGTATGGGTTTTGTCAACAGTCACAAGGTAAGGGATCGACACCTTTTCAGAGGATGGTAAAAATAAAGGTGCAATTTTACACCTTCAGACAACTTTAGGGACCCCCCCCCCCCGAAAGCCTAGGGACCCTAGAGTAAGAATCGGAGGATTAGACTGGCCAAGTGAGCTCTTCGGGTCCAAGCTGCAACCAAGAGCCTCTTTTTTCATTCCGGGAACCTAGGAGGGTGGGCCATAGCCACTCATTGAACGAAGAGTTCAAATTTAGTTGCAAAGAGAAACAAACAAACAAAAAACCAAATCAGTTGCATGCTGGGGACACAGTAGACCTGGCTCAACAGCTAATACCAGTCGCAGTGGACTGATTCCAACTTGCCACAATTCTGTGTGAGGCCGAGCATAACTGCAGCAGCGTCTTCACCGCATGACCTTTCAGAGGTGGTTTACCAGGCCTTTCTTCGTAGGTGCTTCTGGGTGGACTCAAATCATCTGACTTCTGGTTAGTCGTCAAGCGCCTTCACTGTGTGCACTTCCCCCAGGGACACTCGGAATTAAGACCCTGGGGTTTTGATGGATGGCATTTCCAAAATGAGCCAACTGGATAATGAGAAGATAATCTAATCTTAGGTCAAATGAACAGATCCTTGGGGGAAACTAGTAAGAGTCCTGCTGAAGCTTACATAGATAGCTCAGAGGCCAGAGGCCAGAGTCATGAGCAGCCGCAGCCATGACAGGGAATTCGGAACTCCTGGATCGACACTCTGAGACCAGAAATCTCTTGGAAAGGAGAGACCTGACATCCCATTTGATTTCCCCAAAGCCCATCTTTATGGGAGCCAACCGCCTGGAAGGCTGGTGGGTTGGAACAGCCGACCTCTTATCCCCACGGCGCCAGCAACGTGATCTATAAAATCTGCAAATCGGATTCCTCTTTCACGGTCCACCTTTCAACAGCTTCCCCATCATTTTAGCATAAAGAACGCAATCTTCATCCAGACCAAGTTTGGCCCCCAAACTCTCTGTGTTTGAGCAGGGGGCCTGCTGACCAAGGTCAGCAGTGTAAACTTAGCAGCTGCTCCGGGGGAGGGGGGTGGGGATAGGGGGAGAGCAGCCCCAGGCTGCTTGCAGAAAGCGGACCAGTCCCGGCAGCCTGTGGAGCATAAAGTGCTCAAGGAGTTTGGTGTGAAGCTCCTGGCAGACCTTCCTCCCTGGTGCTGGAGGGTGGGCTTAGACTCCCAGCCTCACAGGACAGCCAACCAACAGTCAAAGCCACTGCCTCGGGTCACTGCTGACTCACGCTGAGCCTCAGTAGGGTGTCTGAAGTTGTCATCTTTATGGGGGCAAAACACAATTTTGGTCATTGTAGGGTCTATTCCAAAAAAGGAAAAGAAAAAAGAAAATTAAGTCATTGAGTTAAGTTCATCTTACAGCAACCCCATAGATAGGTAGAGTTCCCCCCTGTGTATGTGTGTGTGTGTGTTTTAATCGTTTTATTGGGGGCTCATATAACTTATCGCAATCCATACATACATCAATTGCGTAAAGCACATTTGTACATTCGTTTCCCTCATCATTCTCAAAACATGTGCTCTCCACTTATGCCCTTGGCATCAGCACCTCATTTTTGACCCTGAAACTGTGGGCACAGACATAAGAAAACTTGTAAGGGTGGCTGTTAAGTTCGAACCCACTCGATTGCACCGAACCACAACTGAGGTCAAGGCACTGTCTCCCGCCCCCCAGGCCTGAGCGCCCCACCGCTCGGTGCTCCTCGCCCCGGGACCTGCCTCGCGCGCAGGCCGGCGACACCCGGAGGGAACGGCGGGGGAGCGGAGAGCGCGGCGGAACGAAGGGGCCCGGCCACCCGCGGCCCCGGCCCCACCAGGAAAACGCGACCTTTCTCCGCCCACTTCCGCGCCGTGCCTGTTGGGAGTTGTAGTCCGATGCGCTTGGAGCGTCTCCGGAACGAGGGCGGACAGGACTCCAATTCCCAGTATGCCCCGCGGCAAGGGGTGTGCGTCGCTTATTTTTCTCCTCCCCACGTTCCCACTCTTTCCCTACTCTCCTGTGAATCCTCCACTCTGGATTCCTGCCGGTGAAGTCTTTCGTCCGTCTCCCAGTCTTTTTCCCATCACTCTTCCCCCAATCCCCGGGAGCCAATGTGGGATATCAATTCTCATTAAGCAACTGCTCGAGACTTGGGGTGCGCGAGGGGTAGCCGTACAGTGGTGAGGGGCACCCGGGGCGCCGGAAGGCGGAGGAGGGAGGAGGGAGGAGGGAGGAGGGAGAGACGAGGAGTGGGAGAAGTTAGGAGCCCGACGACGTGAGATCGGGGGGAATGGGGTGAACGAGACCCGAGGCCATTCGTTGCTATTCTAAGAAGTGGGGCTGAAGCATGAAAGGTGGGGAGAACTAACTGGTCGACGTGGAGCCCCGAGGCTGATCCGACCGGGCCGTGTGGTCCACTGTTCGGCTGAAAACGAGACAAGCCATCGAAATACCAAATGATTGTGCACGTCTGAAACACCTGGCGATGCCATCCCCAGGAACCAGAGAAAGCTTGGATTCGGGGGGCAGAAGTCGGGTGTGAGGAGGCAGGGAAGGGGGTGGGGGCACTTGGTCAGCCTTGGGAGAAACTGGAGGAAATGCGTGACAGGAGCCACAGAAAGAGTTCTTGCGGAGGTCACTGGGCCGGGGATCCCGATGAGAAGGGTTGAGGGGTGATCCTGGCATGGGAGCGCTCTTCTAACGATTGGGGCCCCTAGGTGATGGAGAGCACCCCTTCCAAGGGCGGACTGAACCGAGTACACCTACAATGCCGGAACCTGCAGGAATTTTTAGGGAGCTTGAGCCCTGGGGTCCTGGACCGATTGTATGGGCATCCGGCTACCTGTCTGGCTGTATTCAGGTGAGGATGGCCTTGTGGAGGGAAGTGGGGGGAGAAAATACAAGGGTAGGGGTCCTCCAGCCCTGCACCAATTACCATGGGCAGAAGCCTGGCAGCTCTGGGGGACTTGGGTGTCAGAACCGGGACGGGGGTGAGAGGTCAGATGGCATGTGAGAGGCCAATGATGGCGTAGATGCGGCTATCAGATGGCTTCTGACGTTGAATGTGACCACCACTCCTTTACAGGGAGCTCCCCCCCTTGGCTAAGAACTGGGTGATGCGGATGCTCTTTCTGGAACAGCCTTTGCCGCAGGCTGCTGTAGCCTTGTGGGTGAAGAAGGAATTCAGCAAGTGAGTCTCTCCTGCATCCTTAGCCCGAGACAGATTTTTCTCACAGCTGTGTTTCTCCAAATGCCGTTCTCTGTTGACACTTCCAGGAAGTATTCCTGAGAACGCCACAAAACTTGTGATTACATTTGGGACACTCTGCAGGTTGTGTTTCCTTTGGGGTTGTTCTGGTGTGTTTGAAAGGCTCTGCTAAGTCTCAGAGTCAAGCAATGTAAAGACAACAATTTCACTGCGTTCTAAGGTTCTCGGGTCCAGAAAGGGCCCCGGTGGAAGCCTCTATGGCCTGCCACTTCCTGTTCTACAGCTCCCCCACTTATCTCTCTGCTTCTGTTGCAGGGCACAGGAGGAAAGTACAAGCCTGCTGAGTGGCCTCCGGATCTGGCACACCCAGCTGCTCCCGGGCGGACTCCAGGGCCTCATCCTCAACCCCGTCTTCCGTCAGAACCTCCGAGTAGCCCTTCTGGGGGGGTATGTCACTTCTTTCTCTTCGTAAGCCAGCACTGGGGCGATGATCATTAAACCTCTTGGGGGCTATATCCCAAGGGGCTTCCCTGGAACCTTGTCGAGCACCTTTGGGAGTTCTTTCATAAAGGCATCCTCTGGGCTAGATCTAGCCAGGTGGAATAGGAAATGCCCCGTTCCAGGTCCACGGGGGTGAGGGAGGAAAGGGGGTGAGGGGTACAAGCCAATTTCTTACTCTTGGCCCATCCTGGCCTTAGTGGGAAGGCCTGGTCTGATGACACAAGTCAGCTGGGACCAGACAAGCATGCCCGGGACGTTCCCTCCCTGGACAAGTATGCCGAGGAGCGATGGGAGGTGAGGCCTTGGGGCTATGGGTCTCTGATGATGCTGTTCCTATCTGTAGCCCTTAGAGGCAACAGTCTCTCCGCTCGCTTCCTCTCCTCAGGTGGTCCTGCACTTCATGGTGGGCTCCCCCAGTGCAGCCGTCAGCCAGGACCTGGCCCAGCTCCTCAGCCAGGCTGGGCTCATGAAGAGGTACAGTAGCTCCTGCTTCCTGTCTCCTTGGGTACCTGGAGAGGGTCAGGATGGGGGGTGAGGGTGGAGTGTTGCTTGAAAAAAAAGCAGAGCTGGGTGGAATAAGGCCAGAGATAAGCACCCCCCCAAAAAGCACTCCACTTTCCCCCCAAAAGAGAGGGTGAGTGCGGATGGGAGCCTTTCTCTGTGTCTCGCCAAGATTGCTCCTCTGTGTTTGTAGTGCGGAACCTGGAGAGCCCCCTTGCATCACCTCTGCAGGCTTCCAGTTCCTGCTGCTGGACACCCCGGCCCAGCTCTGGTACTTCATGCTGCAGTATCTGCAGACAGCCCAGGTGAGGGCCAGCATGCTGCCCACGAGAGTCCTCCCCTCTCCCCCCTGCAGACTCTGTGCCCTGATTTGACCCTCTCGTCCCCTTCCCCCCCAGAGCCGGGGCATGGACCTCGTGGAGATCCTCTCCTTCCTCTTCCAGCTGAGCTTCTCCACCCTGGGCAAAGTACGCAGGGGCTGGGGCTGGGGGCGCGGGGAGAGGGAGGGGCCAGCACGGGGATAGCTGGGACAGGGCATGAGCAGAGCCGGGAGAGAGGACACGGGCATGGGAGAGAAGAAGGGGTAAGGGCCACCATCTTTTCCAGGACTACTCTGTGGAAGGTATGAGTGATTCCCTGTTGAACTTCCTGCAACACTTGCGAGAGTTTGGGCTCGTTTTCCAGAGGAAGGTATGAGCACCTGGAGACATGGCTTCTGGGGAAGATCCTGCGTGCTGTGTGGTCGCCGTGGTCTTTGGCAGCAAGGAGGGTCTCTGGAGGCAGGAAGTGGTCTCCAGCCGGGTCTCTTGAGGGGGGGAGAAGCTGGAGGCTGAGGTTTCGGGCAGTGGATGGGATGGGGTTCTGGCCGGGAGATATCGGGCAGTGACTGCGCCCTTCTCTTCTGTCCTTCCAGAGGAAATCTCGGCGTTACTACCCTACACGCCTGGCCATCAATCTCTCCTCGGGTGTCTCGGGGGCTGGGGGTACTGTGCATCAGCCCGGCTTCATCGTGGTGGAAACCAATTACCGACTGTATGCCTACACGGGTGAGCACGCGGGACGGAGGTCTCCCCAGCGCCGTCGCACCCGAAGGGGGCCTAGAGAGCGCCTGGGCGAGGGTGGGTATCCTCACCCGCTCTGCTCCTTCTCTTCTTGCCCCGCTCAGAGTCCGAGCTGCAGATTGCTCTCATAGCCCTCTTCTCGGAGATGCTCTATCGCTTCCCCAACATGGTGGTGGCGCAGGTGACCCGGGAGAGCGTGCAGCAGGCCATTGCTAGTGGCATCACAGCCCAGCAGGTAATTCCCCCTGGGGGAGTGGGGGGAGGGGCTGCATGTGGACCGATGGGCACCGGGTCATTGAAGTTACAGAAGGCTGGCACTGGGTTCAGGCAGTAGGTGGGGGTTTGAGCACCTGGCATAGGAAAAGTCAGGGCTCTGGGTAAAGGAACAGGCAGACCCTTAAAAGGAGAAAACGTGGAGGGAGGTGGTGAACCTTGGATCTGTGTCTTGGCACCGCTACTGCTTCTGAGCTGTGTAAGGGCCAGCATGCTGCCCAAGAGAGTCCTTCCCTCTCTCCCCCTGCAGACTCTGTCCCGTGATTTGACCCTCTCGTCCCCTTCCTTCTGTGAGCCTCAGTTTCTTCCCGCGGAAAATGAGAGTAATGATGTTTCCTACATCGAAGGGTTGTTGGGAGGCTTCAGGGAAAGAAGCGGGGAAAGCAGTGAGCTCAGCCTGCCAGACAGGAAATGCAAATAGAAAACATCAGCTTTCAAGACAGGAGAGCAAAGCCAGGCTCTGGAAGGGGACAGTGAAGGAGCAGGTGTGTGACCAGTGGGGGCAGCAACCTGAGACACCATCTGAACAGGGTTGGGAGCAGGCACAAGTAGATGGATGGCTGTGACAGGAGGTGACAGCTCAGATGGCTCTCCTGCCCTCTACCTGCGCTACCCATGACGCCGTTCTTATCTGTTATCCTAGATCATCCATTTCTTAAGGACAAGGGCCCACCCGGTGATGCTCAAGCAGGTACACACCTGGAACCAAGATGTCGGACATTAGGCACCCCGTGATGAGACTGTGGAAATGAGGGAGCAGCCCAGTCTGGGGAAGGCATAGGGGTGTTGGGTTGTTGGGATCATCGCCCCGAATCCTGCGGGCCACCCCTCGCCCCTTGCAGATCCCTGTGCTGCCCCCCACCATCACAGACCAGATCCGGCTGTGGGAGCTGGAACGGGACAGGCTGCGATTCACTGAGGGTGAGTGGCCTCCGGGCCGAGTCGGGGGCCCAGCCACTGGCCAGAGAGAGCAGCGAAGTGGGTAATACTGCCTCCAGGGGGCGCTGGAATGATGGGGGGGGGGGGCAGCAAAAGCAGATAGCCTGGATTCTGGGGCTGCAGTCCACAGGTATTTAATGACCAGGGAGGCACTGAGTACTTTTTTGTTTCTGAAAAGGGGGTGGTAGGCATACTGTGTTTGGGAACCTAAGGACCCGGAGGACAATTCCATCTTGAGGAGCTGTCAAAGCTCTTCCTTGAGTTTCGTGTGGGATTATTGGGAGCAGGCCGGGTGACACACGGTGGTACGCGTCAGGCTGTTAGACAAAGTTGGCTTCCTACCAGCCGCGCCCAGGCCTTGTGTGATGCTGTCTTGAGCCCTGACGCTTCAGTCTTGGAAACCCGAGGGAGCAGCTCCGTGCTGTGGGTCAGAATCCTCTCTTCCACAGTGGGGTTGGCTCTGGTTTATTTGGCACGGAGCGAAGAGCTGGCCAGAGGCGTCATGTTGGGGCAGCTCAGGAGTTCAAATGCCATGGCAAAAATCAGCGTATGGCCAATCCACAGTAATGCCTCTAGTTTTGAACACTGATGCGTGCACACGTGTACTGATTATATTCTCTCCCCCCCCCCCACGCGCCCTGCGGACCCCAGGCTTCCTGTATAACCAGTTCCTGTCGCAGGTGGACTTTGAGCTGTTGCTGGCCCACGCGCGCGAGCTGGGCGTGCTCGTGCACGAGAACTCAGCCAAGAGGCTCATGGTGGTCACGCCGGCCGGGCACAACGACGTCAGGCGCTTCTGGAAGCGGCAGAAGCACAGCTCTTGAGTGGGGGCGGGGACAGTGGGGGCGGGGTTTTTGTGGGTTTTTTTTTAAACAACACGTCGGCACTTTCCCGTTTATTTAATAAAGTTGCGGAAATGAACGCAGTGTCCTCTCCCCGGGACCACCCTTTGGGGGGCGGCGCGCCCCTCGGCCGCGACGCTACGGGCCGGCTTACCTGGCGCAGGGGGTGGGACTCGGGCTTTGCTGCTGCGCATGCGCCCGCGTAGGCCCCGCCCCTCGGGGCCGCGACTTCCGGTTCCGGGGTGGGGCGCGCGTCCCCCAGCCCCGGCCTCCGTCGCGGGGCGCCCTGGGATAGCGGTGGGGCCCGTCGGTGAGCGCGCGCCCCGGCGGCCTCGCGGGGAGGGAGGCGGCGGGGGCGCCTGGCTGCGCGGGGCGGGGGCGCTGCGGGCCGCGCCGGGTGTGAGGACCGACCAGGCCCTAGCGGGGCCCCGTGCGGGCCGCTGTCAATCACCCCCGAGTCCTGCCCTCCCGCGCGCCAGAGGTCACGCCCACGTCGCTGGGGCACGTGGTGGGGGCCAGGGACTCCAGCCCTGACCCCGAGGCACTGCCTGCGCTCCGTCCTCACGGTGGAAGGGGTGTGTGGGAGGGGACGGCACCAGATGAACGGGCCAGGACCAGGAGGAGGAAGAAGCGGGGGGCGGGGAGGGGGCGAGGCTTGTCACTCCGACCCCAGGAAGCCCCTCCTCCTGATGTGCTCTCTCTGGAACAGACCTGGGCCGCTGCCCGGCCCGCCTGATGCCTCATTGGCCCCTGGCCCCTCTTCGACCCCCATTTTGGGGGCTGGGGCCCTCACGGGGCGCCCCCCGGCCGCGGCCTCTCTGCACTCAGCCGGAGCCCCATGGAGCCCGCGTATCCCGGAAGAACCGAGCAGCCAAGCTGAAGCGCCTGCGGGAGAGGCCGGCGGCGCTGGAGGCTGGGGTAGCGGCCAGGAACAAGGTTGGGGGTCAGACGGCTTCAAGGGAAGACGGAGCTTTCCAGTCCCCTAAAGAGCCGGTCTGCGAAACTCCCGGGGCAGTTCTACCCTCCCTACGGGGTCGCTGTGACTTGGCATCAAATTGATGGCAATGAGTTTGGGGGTTAGGCTGGGGTATACTGAGCATCGCACCCTCCCCCTCTGATTGCACCCTGTGTTGTCCCCCACCCCCGATCCCCAGTCTCCTGCAGGATCCAGTAAGGCCTGGACTCCTAAGGAGATAGTATTATATGAAACCCCCACGGAGCCCGGGGACAAGAAAGGTAACTCAGAGACTCGATGGCCTTTTCTGTCACCATTTTGTTGCTCGTGTGGTCAGCTGACGGGCCCCCTGGGGACAAAGGGCAGGAGTCAGGGGAACTGTCCTGCGTCTTCACAGATGTGTCGGGGCCCCTGCCTCCTGCGTACAGCCCCAAGTATGTTGAGGCCGCCTGGTATCCCTGGTGGGAGCGAGAGGGCTTCTTCAAACCAGAGTATCAGGTCAGTGCCTGGCAGGGGCCACCGGGGTGGAGTGAGCCCCCACAGTCCGCCACATTGCAGTGTTTGCACCCCTTGAGCTCTCCTTTACTCCCCGCTGTCTCCAGGGCTTTCTCTGGGCAGGTCTCTCCCTCCCTGGTTGCTGGCAGGGCAGCTTTCTGCCTTGGGGACGCCAGAGGGTGCTATTCTCCCAGGGAATGCCGCATCCTGGCCCGCCCTTGGGTTTTTCACCTTCCTAGGCCCGGCTGCCCCAGGCCACGGGGGACAGCTTTTCCATGTGTATCCCGCCCCCCAACATCACTGGCTCTCTGCACATTGGCCATGCCCTCACGGTGGCCATCCAAGATGCTCTCGCGCGCTGGTGAGGGGAGTGGGCTGCTTGAGCGTTCCCTGGGAAGTGGGCCGGTGGTGGGGTGGGTGAGGAGGTGGGTGTAGGGGAGGGGGCCGGTGGGGTTGGGCGTGAGGTCACATGTAAGCCTGGGGGTCACTTGCGGGTTTCTCACGGCAGGCACCGGATGCGAGGGGATCGGGTGCTGTGGGTCCCAGGGTCAGATCACGCGGGAATCGCTACGCAAGTACGCCTCCTGCCACCCGCCCGCCACCCCTCACCTGTTCTTGGTGAAAAGATGTTTCCCTCCAAAGCACCCTGGTTCTTTCTTAGCTTATTTGCTCCTTACCGTACCATAGGCTGTGGTGGAGAGGCAGCTCTGGAAGGAACGGGGCGTGAGGAGACATGAGCTGAGCCGGGACGCCTTCCTGAGGGAGGTGTGGAAGTGGAAGGAGGCGTGAGTATGAAGGGCTGAGATGCAAGTGGTGCGGGCTCCGGATCCCTGGCCCGTTTTTTTTCTGGACTCCCGGCTCTTCCCCAGGAGCCTCCATGGTGTAGTGGTTATGCGCTGGGCTGCTAAGTGCAAGCAGGGTCAGCAGTTTGAAACCAGGAGCTGCTCTGAGAAAGACAGACACGGGGCTTTCTACTCCCGGAAAGAGTCCCAGGCTCAACAGGACGGCCATTGTGTTGTTCGGTGCTGTCGAAGAATTAGTCTTGGAAACCCCCAGGGCCAGGTCCTACCCGGCCCTGTAGTGTCGCCGTGGGCCAGAATTGACCCGATGGCATTGAATTTGGTTTGGGTTTGGCTCTTCCCATGTTAGCCTTAATTTCTGTCGGAGACATAATCTGAGGGCCTGTTTTAGTGCTTGGTAGGAGTTTCCATGTTTAACATGTATGTAAACTTTTGTACGTGTGTATGTAAGTAGTTCCCTGTGTGGTGCAAGTGGCTTGCCCTTGTCTACTAGCCGTATGTAAAAACATGCACATGGATTTGTGTGTCTGTGTCTATGGAACACAATTCTACTCTGATGTATGTAAGGGTTGCTGTCGGTTTGAATTAATTCCGTGGCAAGTGTAAAAAAACAAGCAACAACCAAAACTATTCTCTAGCGATATTGGGTAAGATAATACACTATTAAAATTAAATCAGCTGCTGCTTTTTCATTTTTAACCATGGTGACGAGAAAACTTAAAACTACATACATGGCTTGCACAGTATGTTTTTTAAATTTTATTTCATCGGGGGCTCCTACAGCTCTTATCACAATCCATACATATATCCATTGTATCAAACACAACTGTATATTTGTTGTCATCATCCTTTTCAAAACATTTTCTATTTGAGTCCTTGGTATTAGCTCCTCATTTTCCCCCCTCTATCCCCCACTCTCCCTCCCCCATGAAACCTTGATAATTTATAAATTCTTCTTTTTTTCCATGTCTTACACTGACCACTGTCTCCCTGCACCCACTTTTCTGTTGTCTGCCCTGGGAGATGGCGCACACTATTTCTTATTAGACACCATTGGTCTGGTCTCTGTGAAGGCATGCTGTTTTGAGGGTGACCGCTGGGTCCTATTCTCAGCAAATGGTTTCAGGCTCCATCTGAGTTCTGAGCAGTCACTGGGAAGTGGTCAGCTGCTCACTGAAGGGCTGGACATTCATCTAGAGGTATCTTGGAAGAAAAGTCTTGGTGGTCCACTTCCCAACACACCGCCATTGAAAACCCGACGGAGCGCTGACACCCTGACACCCGGGAGGTGGTTGTGGGCTGGAAAGGACTCTACAGCCCCTGATGACTGTGTGTGTGTGTGTGTGTGTGTGTGTGTGTGTGTGTGACTCCATTGCCTACCTGTCCCCACCTCTCCTCTCACCCACTCTCACTCTCCGTCTGTTGAAATCACCCTCCTGCCAGGTCTGTTTTCAAGTGCCACTCCTTTCTGCAGCTGCTTTGTTTTGCCCCACAAAGTGGCCACCCATTGCTACAGCAGAACCGTCTGCCGCTTTCCACGCCACGCTGTCGTTCATGGTTTCTGACACAGACACCCCACATGATGGAGTAGAACTGCCCTGGGGTTCTTGGCTGTAATTGTGACAGGAGACCCCCAGATCTCTCTGCAGAGCCTGTGGATTGGTTCGAAGGGCTCACCGTTCCAGTAACACCTGGCCCCATCTGCGGTTGTGGGTTGGTCTCCATTGGCTGCTTCCAGAGGGCGGGCTAATGCTGTACTCCCCGGGCCTGGCCCTCCGAGGTGCTCCGACGTGTTGGCTGACCGGAGTTCTCTCTGGGTGCAGGAAAGGAAGCGAGATCTGCGAGCAGCTCCGAGTGCTGGGCGCCTCCTTGGACTGGGACCGAGAGTGCTTCACGATGGATGCGGTGAGTGTTGGTGCCAGGCTCCGCGGGCAGGGCTGGGTGGGGGGTGTAGAGAGCTGCATGGGGAGGGGCAGCTGTGGCGTGCCGCGGGGTTGGCGCCCTGTGCTCTTGGCGTTGATGCTGAAGGGCAGCGTGGGGCTGCCTCCTGCACCATCAGCTCCGTGGGAGCAGGTCTCCAGGGCGCGTTCACCGCCAACCTTTAGGTGAACTGTGGCGCCCCTGGGCCCCTTGCATTGGGGTTAGGGGTGTGAGAAGGCGGGGGTCCTGAGTGGGGTTACACCGTCGGATGTGGACACTCCGGTCATTGTAGGGCTCCTCGGTGGCCGTGACCGAAGCTTTTGTGCGACTCTCCAAGGCGGGGCTGTTGTACCGGAACCGGCAGCTTGTCAACTGGTCCTGCGCGTTAAGATCCGCCATCTCAGATATTGAGGTGAGGCCGCGGGAGAGCTGCACGTTTGCCAGCGCTCCTAGGCCAGGTGGGCACGGAGCCGATTGGCTACTCGGTGTGACATTTGGCCTCAGTAAGCCTCAGCTTCCCCAACCTGGAAATGAGGGACGGGAGTGCCTGCATCCTGGGGGTGCTGTGTCGTGAGGGTTAACTAAGGACCCACCTAACGTGTTAGCTCAGTGCCGGGAGGGGGACTTACAGTTTTTAGTGTCTGGCTTTGTCCCCCAGACCGCCCCGTCTGGTGAGCTTGTTGCATTGCAGCACCATCCATAGTGCCCCCAATCTTTGTCACCTGCTGAGTGGACGAGCACACTGTGGCCCCCACATGCAGCGGGCTTGCTCAGCAGTCCTGGTCCAGCCCCAGCGGGATGGACCCTGGTCTCAGACCACACTTAGCTAAAATACCTACAGTAGGCAGGTGCGCAGAGACGACGTGCCGCACACGAGCGTTCACCAGGGGCAGGCCCGAGGAAGGCTAAGGGTGTCGAGGGTGACGGGCCTTTTGTGAACAGATCATAGTGAGAGTCGCGCCGCACGGCGAACAGAATTCACGTCACCAAACTGCTTTCCTCCCCCCGTATGTACCACAGTGAGGAGGAAGACCATACACGAGGAAGAGCTAGATGGGAGGAGCAGCTGGCTGCCCTTTTTTCTTGGGTAGCAGGGAGGCCAGGGTGGAAGGGATGGGGCTCAGGGGAGGCCTGGGAAGGCTGGCCTCGACTCTGCTCACTCACCCCTCCAGGTGGAAAGCCTGCCCCTGGAGGGCTGCACGGAGCTGCGCCTGCCTGGCTGCCCCGCTCCAGTCCCCTTCGGCCTCCTCGTTTCTGTTGCCTTCCCCGTGGACGGAGAGCCTGGTGAGTGCGGCCCCAGGGGGCTGATGGGAAATCTGATGGGACGGCTCTAGGGCAGCTCTGCAGTGCACGCGTTCCTTGGACGTGGTCCTCACGTATTCTGGGGGACCTCCGAGAAGCGTAGGCCTGTGCCTCCCCGGGAGTCTGGTCCAGTTTGGCGGGAGTCTGTTGCCCGGGAAAGAGACAAAGGATCAGCTGTAAAGCGGGTTTGAACAGCCAGAGGAGGACAGCTGAGCTGGCCTGGTCAGAGGCTTCTCGTCTGAAGGGCTGGTGCCATCCCTGCCGAGGGCACAGGATTTATGAGTAGGACCCTGGGAACCCCCAGGCGGCCTCTGGCACCCAGCAGGGGCTCTCGTTTTCTGTTGGGTGCCATTGAGTTGAGGCCCATGTCCGTCAGCCCCATGGGACAGAAGAGAATTGCCCCTCGGCCTTTCCAAGGCTTTGTGCAGGAGAGCCGGCCAGAGTAGCTGGTGGGTTTGAACCTTTGAACCTTCTCACTTCTGGTTAGCAGCCGAGCACGTACACCCTGGCACTTGCAGGCCTCCTAGGCTAGGACTCTCAGCACCAGGCACCCTCCCTGGTCTCTGGTCATTTGCTAACAGGGAAACCCCAGGCTTCTAGGGACACTGGGCCTTGGTTCCTCCATGATTGCTGGGGCCTGTTCAGCCCTGCTGGCTCCCCACCCCTCCCCTCTCCATCCTGAGCCGGGTGGGGGTGGCGGCCTGGTGTCAGTGCCCAGATGTCTGTCCTCAGATGCAGAGGTGGTGGTAGGAACCACGAGGCCAGAGACGTTGCCTGGAGATGTGGCTGTGGCCGTCCACCCCGACGACTCCCGATACACGGTACGGGACAGCACAGCCCTGCGCCTGGCCGGCCAGCTCCCCACCCCAGTCCCCACCCTCCCTGAGGATGGCGCCCCCGTCTGCTTTCCCTCCTGGCCTCAGACACCGGCTCCGGCCTCAGCCCCTCGGTGGCTCTGGTTAGACGCCTTTCTCGGATGCTATGTTTTGTTTCTTACCCTGGCCGTGGCAGGGGCAGGGGCAGATTACCCAGTAAGTAAGGTCAGCAGGGGTTTACTTGCGCAGCCGACTAATCTGTCGTGAGCATGTTTCTGTGGAAACACGATCTCTCATACTACAGCTCAGCACAATAGTAAGCAAGCATACGTGAGCCCGTGCCTGCTTCGTTGCTCACTGCTCCGTTCCTGGAAGGGGGTACATTTGAACAGAGGCTTTGCTCTCTGTAGGAAGGCGCTGTGGGGTTGGGAGACAGATGCCCACCAGGCCTAGAAGCAGAATCCCTGCGGGGGGAAAACAGATTCCCTGAGGGAGCCACACTTGTCAGCTCGTGCGTTACCAAGCTGTGCAGCAAGTGGTCGCTGTTGGCAGAGACGACATTTGTCCCTTGTTCCACAAAGCCTTTAGGAGCTTGCCGGCGGACCCCTTCCCCTGTTCTGTATCTACTGGCGTTCACCCTCTTCCCCGGGCATGGTCATGCCCCAGACCGAACCTTCATGCCCACACATGTGCTCACCCTGCCCGCCTCCCTTCCCTCCAGCATCTACACGGGCGGCAGCTTCGACACCCCTTAACTGGGCAGCTACTCCCTCTCATCACGGACTCTGCTGTCCAGCCACACCTGGGCACAGGCGAGTGGAGCCCGGGTGTCCCCAGGGAGGAGGGAGTGGGGGAGGGAAGGCGGGCCGCATCAGGAAAAGGCAGCGTGGGAGGGGCGTGGGGGAGGGAAGGCGGGCCGCATCAGGAAAAGGCAGCGTCCGGGGCCCAGGTTCGTGCTCACCCTGCCCTACCTCCCGCAGGGGCGGTGAAGGTGACGCCGGCCCACAGTCCTGCGGATGCTGAGATGGGAGCCCGGCACGACCTGAGCCCCGTGAGCGTCATCGCGGAAGATGGGACCATGACCTGGCACTGCGGGGACTGGCTGCAGGTGCCACCAGCCGTGTGCTCCCCACCCTCCTGCCACCCCATCTTCCTTGAGGCCACTGGCTTACTCTCGCTGCTTTTCTGCAGGGTCTTCACCGGTTCGTGGCCCGGGAGAAGATTGTGTCGGCCCTGAGGGAGCGGGGGCTGTTCCGGGGCCTCCAGAGCCACCCCATGGTGCTGCCCATCTGCAGGTAGCCCCGTGGTAACTTCTTTGCTGGGGGCATCCCTAAAGGGAACAGAAGAGGGTGGGGAGTGGCACTGGGATGCCTCTGCCCCCCTGCCCCAGGTTGGGTCGTCTCTGCCCCCCTTGGTTCCGAGGCCTGGCAGGTAGCAGGCCCTCGTCCCCTGGACCAGGTGTAGGGCTGGAGGCTCCAGGCACTCACCCGGCTCCCTTTCAGCCGGTCTGGGGACGTGGTAGAATACCTGCTGAAGAGCCAGTGGTTTGTCCGCTGCCGAGAAATGGGAGAGCAGGCCGTCAAGGTGAGGCCGCAGTGCTGAAGGGATCGGGGCCCGGGGCCGGGATGGAGGCCGGGGGAGGCCTGGCGTGTTTGCTCTGGCTGTGGTGTGGGTGGAGGGCTGGCTCACCCCCTCCCTCCAGCCTGGGAGATTCTGTTGTGAGAGCCCCAGAGGCCGCATGTCCCACCCTGGAGACGGGTGCAGGATGGGAAGCCCCTCTGAATGCCTTTTTTCTCCAGGCCGTGGAGTCGGGGGCCCTGGAGCTGCACCCGTCCTTCCACCAGAAGCACTGGCTGCACTGGTTTTCCCACCTAGGGTAAGGGTGAGGGGTGCTCCCTGGAGGAGGGGACAGGGGCAGTACTGGCCGTGCTGGCAAGTCACGCTGTCCCCTCGCTGCCCTCTCGCAGGGACTGGTGCGTCTCCCGGCAACTGTGGTGGGGCCATCAGATCCCAGCCTACCTGGTGGTGGAGGAGCAGGGACAGGTTTGTGCTGGAGGGGGTGTCAGCGAGGGCTGGGCAGGGAGGAGGGAGCTCCAGGCTGGCAGTCAGGGCTTCCAGGCCCGTCTAGCTCCCTGCCTGCCACTGTGCGACGCTACTTCCCCAGGCCTATACCTGTGGCTTCATCTTGCCCCAGTGGGCCCGAGACCCCACGAGACAGCCACGAGACAGCCTGACAACCAAGTGGGCTTTCAGACCCATCACTGCCCTGTTCTGCCATCCTCTCCCCTGCCCCTTCTTTTTTTCCCAGGGCCATGGGTCAGACTGTTGGGTGGTCGGGCGGACAGAGGCCGAGGCCAGGCAGGCCGCTGCAGAACTGACAGGGAGGCCGGCGGCAGAGCTGACCCTGGAGAGGGGTGAGTGCCTCTGGGTGGGGGTTGACAGATTGTAGGGCTGGGCAAGGTGGGAGTGGGTCCGAGGGCCAGACTCTGGCCTCTGGCAGGTGAGCAGCAGCCATCTGAGGCCCCAGAAGCTGGGGTCCAGTAGTGGCCATTCCCTGTCCCGTTCCCCAGACCCTGACGTACTGGACACGTGGTTCTCTTCCGCCCTTTTCCCCTTTTCTGCTCTGGGCTGGCCAACAAAGGTGAGGTGGCTGAGGGCAGGAGAATCGTGAGGGTTTGGGGATGGTGAGTGGGGGGTCCCTTGGGTACATGGGAGGTCTGGAAAGGAACGGAGGGCCCGGGCAGGGCCTCCCACTGTCCTTCTTGTCTCACAGACCCCAGACCTCGCCCGTTTCTACCCGCTGTCCCTTTTGGAGACCGGCAGTGACCTCCTGGTGTTCTGGGTAGGCCGCATGGTCATGCTGGGGACCCAGCTCACAGGGCAGCTCCCCTTCAGCAAGGTGACCGCCTGCCTCCGCAAGGCCCTCCGCCCATCTCCGACTCCCCAGCCATCCCCAGCCCGGTCTTCCTGTCAACGCCCAGTGCCGAGCTCTCCGGCTTCCTCATTCCCCTTTCCCGGCTGACTCCCTGCCTCCTCGCCAAACTCTGGAGCCCAGAGATCCTAAGGGACCCTTCTCTGCTCCCAGGTGCTGCTTCACTCCATGGTTCGGGACCGGCAAGGCCGCAAGATGAGCAAGTCCCTGGGGAATGTGCTGGACCCGAGGGACATCATCACAGGGGCAGAGCTGCAGGTCCGGGTCTCGTCCAGCACAAGGGAGCGAGGCGGGACTCTGAGGAGGGGAGCCACTGGGAGAGACCATGGAGGCGTGGGAGCAGTGGCAGTCCCTGAGGTCCAGAGACCCAGTGGGGGCTGGGTCGCTGAACCACCGGCCCCTCCCCAGGCACTGCAGGAGAAACTGAAGGTCGGGAACTTGGCCGCGGCAGAGCTGAACATGGCAGCCGCCGCACAGGTGAGCTCAACTCTGGCATGTGCCCCGCCCCAGCCTTCAGCGCCCAGCGTCTAGATTTCTTCCTCAGGACCGGCTTCACAGGCACCCTGCCCTCCCGTCTCCTCTGGTTGCAGAGAAAGGACTTCCCGCACGGGATCCCTGAGTGTGGGACAGACGCCCTGAGATTCACGCTGTGCTCCCATGGAGCCCTGGGTAAGCGAGGTTCAGCGCTGTGGGGGAGAGATGCGGGGTGCGGTGGGCAGGGAGGGCGGTGGGCAGAACTGGGGCTTCCTGTGCTGCTGCCTCGCCCCCACAGTCCCCTTCGTCTCCCTCTCCTGCCAGCGGGTGACCTGAACCTGTCTGTCTCTGAGGTCCTGGGCTCCCGGCGTTTTTGCAACAAGATCTGGAACGCCCTGCGCTTCATCCTCAACAGTCTGGGGCAGGGATTCTCACCCCAGCCCACGGAGGAGGTGAGAGGGAAGAGGTGCGCCCGAGTGGGGCTCCTCAGGTGTCTGAGGGAAAGGAGGGGAGCCATCCTCGTCCTGAGCCCCCTCCTGCCTGCAGCTGTCTCCCTCATCCCCCATGGACGCCTGGGTCCTGAGCCGCCTTGCCCTCACCGCCGCGGAGTGTGAGCGGGGCTTCCTGGCCCGGGAGCTGCCCCTTGTCACCCACGCCCTGCACCACTTCTGGCTCCACAGCCTCTGTGACGTCTACCTGGTGAGCGAGCAGGGCCAAGACCTGGCATTTCCACCCTGCAGACCTGCTTCTGATCCCCCCCATGGCGGGAGCTCTGAAGTTGTTCCCCCTTCCATTCCCCTCTTTTATGGGCCCTGCCTCTGGGGGCAGCATGCTGCTTTGGGGCTTTGTGCCGGCCCCTGTCACTGGTGAGTGTGGACCCTGGACAGGCTGGGGCCGAGAGGTCGGGGTGGGGGCGCGGGCGTCACAACAGGCCTCTTGGACAGGAAGTCTGGAAACTCCCAGAGGCTTGTTCCACACGGATCCAGGCTCCGGAGCTGCTCCCTTAGTGGGTTGTGGGGTGGGGGTGGGGGCAGAGCTTTCATTTCTGACAAGTCCCTGGCCGTGGTGAGCAGCACTGCCCCAGGGCACTGCCTCTCAACCTTTGAAAAACCCACGCCACGTTTGATGAGCCAGACACGCGTACTGGTTCTTTTCCAATGACCTGGGAACTTTGAAGTGTTCGTGGAAGACCTGCATTCTTTTAATTTTGTGCGCCCCCTCCCCCCGCAAACTTCTTGAAGCCCCCCCTCTTGCTCAAGCCTTTCAGGAGGCTGCGTTCCTGGCCTCGGAGAATCCCAGTCTGGACTTTCCTTTTCCCACACACTGCAGAGCCCAGCAGGCCCTCTGTGGTGTCACACTGAGTGCGTCCGCCCTCCTTTACCCAGTGTCCCCTGACTGGCTGACTTCCCCCCCAGGAGGCAGTGAAGCCGGTGCTGGCCCGCTCCCCCCGGCCCGAGGGGCCCCCGCAGGTCCTGTTCTCCTGCGCTGACATCGGCCTCCGCCTCCTCGCCCCGCTGATGCCCTTCCTGGCCGAGGAGCTCTGGCAGCGGCTGCCCAGCAGGCCAGGTGGCCCCGCTGCCCCCAGCATCTGTGTGGCACCCTATCCCAGCGCACACAGCTTGGTGAGCCACACACGGATCTGGTGTCTTGGGGGCTTGCTGGCGCCCCACGGGGGTCTAGCGGGTGGGCTCTGACCAGCTCATAACCAGTCAGTTACAGTGGGATGGCCCATCTCTGCGGTGGGGCGGAGGGGGCTGCCACTGTGGCTGGCATGGTCTGTGGTAGTGGCGTGGTGGCTGCCAAGCACAGGACTTCTGCTGCACTAGTGCAAGTTGCAAGGCTGCACCTGCTTCCTCCACCGGTACGCGGGGCAGGAAGAGCCCATCCCCCGGCTGTAAGGGGGTTGATGACCTCACTCTCTGCCGTCAAGTGAACTCCGACTCACTGTGACCCCTGGGACAGGCTAGACCTGCTCCCTGGAGCTTCGAAGGCAGTAACTCTACGGTGTTGAAAGTCATCCTTCTTCCTCGGAACAACTGGTGGTTTCGAACCGCTGACCTTAAAGTTAGCGGTCCAACCAGACGCCACTAGTCACCAGGCTCCTTGGTAAGGGAGCCAGAAGTCAAACCTGTTGCTGTCGTCCGTCAGTCCCGGCTCCCTCAGGGCTGCTGCCAGCTCTCATGCCCTCGCAGGGTAGATGCTACAAACTCACTCCCCGGAAAACCCATTGCCCACCTACCTGTGTGCATTTCTTTTTCCGATTACTGGGGTTTGTGACTTTTGAGTGATCCTGTATATCTTTTCAGTTCTATTGACCTGTAGGATTCACGTATCATGTAATTCCCTGGCTCCAGTGCCCCTCCCTCCCTCTTGGGGTCACGGGAGTGTGGGGCGCTTCACCCGAGCCCGCCCTCCGCTGACTGGGTCCACTCCCAGCGCGCGCCCTCTCCAGTCTTCTCAGGCAGCTCTCTGCTGTGTGGTTCCTCGAGGCAGTGGTCTCTGCTGGAGAGCTCAGACCTAGGGTTGCCCTCGGGGCGGGATGGGAGGTGGGTGCAGGCTGGGCTCTGTGTGTCATCTGTGGTCCCTGTCCCCAGGAGCACTGGCGCCAGGCCGAGCTGGAGCAGCGCTTCTCCCGAGTCCAGGAGGCCGTGCAGGCGCTGCGGGCTCTCCGGGCCACGTACCAGCTCACCAAGGCGCGGCCCCGAGGTGAGGCGTGCGCTGGGCCACTGGGCGCCTGTGGGAAGTGGAGACAGCCTGGCGGGGCAGACCCCGGGGTTGGAAGCGCACACAAGGAGGGTAGGAGGGAGGATGGACCTTTGACCCGTCCTCCCCTCCTGCCAGTGCTGCTGCAGAGCTCGGAGCCAGGTGAGCGGGAGCTCTTCCAGGCTTTCCTGGAGCCCCTGGGCACGCTGGCCCACTGCGGGCCTGTGGGCCTCCTCTCCCCAGGCCAGGCAGCCCCCTCGGGCTGGGCCCAGGCCCCACTCGGCGACTCCGTTCAGATCTACATGGAGCTGCAGGTGAACCCCGAAGCTCGGAGGGGAGGGTCGAGGAGAAACGTGGGGAGCTGGGCGCTTTAAAGCTGGAAGGGTTTGGGGGTGGCGGGGTTGGGTGTTGAGCAGTCTGCAGAGTCTGACAGCCTTCCCGCCCTGCTCCTCAGGGCCTGGTGGACCCGCAGGCCCATCTACCTCTGCTGGCTGCCCAAAGACACAAGTTGCAGAAACAACTTGAGGGTCTCCTCCGCCAGCGCTCTTCACAGCGGGAGGCAGACACCCAGACACAGCACAGGGTGAGGCGGGCGAAGACTGCCCAGGAAGCCCCGCGCTCCTGAGGGCTGTGGGCTGGGAGCAGGCAGGCCTCTTCCCCGGGCCATCTCTCATGGTCCTCTCTCCTTGGCCAGCTGTCTTCCCTCCAGAGGGAGCTACTGAAACTAGACAAGGCAGTCTCTCACCTGCGGCAGCTGATGGAGGAGCCTCCACCCCGGGGGATTTGAGCTCCGGCTCTCACCGGAGTCCCGTGAGACCTGCCTTTGAGCATAGACTCATCAGCTGACAGGGGCCTCAGAGACTGCCTGGCCGCTGGCCTTGTGCCATGGACCGGGACACGGGCTGGCCTGCTGTGACTGGAGGACCTGGGTGGACAGGGTGAAGTTTCGAAATGAGGAAATCCAGATAAACGGTCTTGTCTGCCTGTGGCCCTCTGTCCTTCTTTCCCTGCCGGTGAGGTTCCGGCCTCAGTCCGAGAGATTGGTCTGAGAAAGGAGGAGGGATGCCTCTCAGTTTGGCGAAGGCTTTGGGTGCAGGGATAAGCCTGCCTCTGCTGGCGAGGGGACAGGGCAGGGACACAGGGAGCCCTGTCCTACCTCCTTCCTGGGCTGTCTGATCAAGTCTTGGCCCTTCCACAAAGCTTCCAGGCTCCTGGGCCCCATCCCAGAGGTCCTGAGAGGAGTAGGGGCTGTCCCGGATTCTGAAGGGGGTGGGGTGGGCTGGAGGTTGGTACCTTCAACCGTCTTTGCACCTGAGCCCGTGGTGCTGGAGACGCTCTGCCCAACCTACACGCTGAGCTATGCGTCATACGCAGACACCCCCTAAGTGACTCCGTGTCTCGTCCACGGGGAATCCAGGCACCAAGTTCATTTTGTCCAGCAGCTCTGAGCAGCGCTTGCTAGCCAGGGCCTCTCACGGGCTGGGTCCTCCATGGAGTCAGGTGTCCAAAGGTGTCTAAGCCTTCTAAGAACCAACGTGGGGTGGGGTGGGGGTGTGTGAGCGCCAATGGGAGAGGAAACACATTCAGCGTGAAAGTCTCTCATCCCAGCTTTCAGCTCAGCTTCCACCCAGGAAGTCGGTGCCGGCTCTTCCCGGCTGCTGTACCGCACCGTCCATGGAAGGGCGGCTTTGACAAGCTGCAGTTCTCTTGCTGGGTGTCAGGAGGATGGGGCTCCACCCCTCCTCTGCCATTCCAGTGAACTCCAATGGAGTCCCCGGTGCCGGCATGCCCATGTCCCCTCCCAGAGGAGAGAAGCCGAGAAGGTTCCTTCCTGGCCCCCAGTGTGACAGATGGCTCCCGAGCACCTGCTAGGTGCTGGCCCTGTCCTGGGCTCTGGGACCCATCGGAGGCAGCGGTGCTATGTCCCCTTGCACTTGAATGGGAGCAGAATGTTGCAAGGGACAGGCGAGTGAGCAAAATGAAGGTGGGAACATTCTGGAATACTTAAGAGTGGCCAGGAGGCCAGTGTGGGGGGACAGAACAAAGGGGATCATCAGCAGGAGGGGACACTGGAGATTTGGGCGGGATGAGGTGGAGATTTGGGCGGGATGAGGTGGGAGGACGACGGGGGACACAGAGCTCATCGCCCACTTGGTGCTGGCCCAAGTCATCAAGACTAAACCCTCACATGGGCCACATAACGGCCACTGGCCGCGTGGAGGGCTGGTGGCTATGCTACAGATCACATTAGGCATTCCGTTGATTCCACTCGTGGCCACCCGATGTAGGAGTGCTGGTCAGCATTGGACTGCTAGCGGACACACCGGTGGTTCAGACCCACGAGCTTCTCGGGAGAAAGATGAGGCCGTGTCCCCGTGAGGATGTCAGTCACAGCACGTCCTGAAACATGTCCATCGTGGAGAATGTTGTTGGCCCTGGTAGGCTAGTTAGGTTGACAGTGTTTGCTCCTGACGTGGAAGCACCTTTTCTCTTGGGACTACCAGGGAGGACTTCCTTCCCCTTGCCTCTCACTAGACAGAACCTAATGACGTGGACCTCTCCGGCTGCAAAGCAAGCTGGGAAATACAGACTAGTCGGACAGTCACAGGATCCACTGAGATCTTCATGCCTGCCTGCCTCAGAGGAGGATGGTGGCTGTCAAAGGAAGCATATAGCTGGCCATCTCCACCACCTTCAGGTCTGCTGGACGGACCCTGACCGGTTCTTGTCACTCACTTCCCTGTCTAGAACCTCGGAAGGGGTTTTTAGGGCAGTTAAGAGGGCCAGGGGAATCTGAAAGTCACACCTTAGTTTCTTAGAGATTGAGTTAACTAGCCCACAACTTGTTTGGGGGCCTACACACCTGACCCATGGACGTCATCTGCCCACCGGTACAGGCTCTCTCGGGACCAGTCCTAAACTTCCCTTCTCCCTGGGCCCAGCTACCCCCCAGGGCCCACGGCACCAGGCTGGTTGTAAAGGGGCTGGAAGAAGTTTGTGTGTCTTGTCCGTCTCGCACTTCCTGTACTCCGCTGGTCTTTCGAGACTTGGCTTCACCATCTTCCAAAGAAGCCCTTCTCCTGTTTTATGTGGTGGTAACAGCAGGAGGTGTGTGAAGACCGGAGTGCACTTTGATCCAGAATTCTAGATGGCGCTACGGTCAGACATTGAGGTCTTGCGAGAACAGGAAACTTGCCCAGATTTCACCCTGACTCCACACATTGCCATGGTTGGCCAGAGTAGGCGCCCTGAAGCCCTCCCCCGCCCCTGGAGCCCGCTGGCTGGCCTCTTGGGGAGGTTGAACTGAACCCGTCCTGAACTGCCTCCACCCCATGTCCCACCCCGATGGATCCCTCTGGGTCCCTGGGACAGGGGACAGTGCCCCAGAGCTGTTCAGTCCGAGTCCCAGCCCCCATGCTCAAACAAAGGAAGATGAGATGAAAATCCTGCCTCCCCACCCTCGCCTGGAAGAGAGGATCAGGCCGCTGTTACAGTACACGTGTCTCCAGGGGGTACAAATGGCCGCTAACTGAAAGGGTGGTTTGAGTCACCTGGAGACACATCGGAGGCAGGCTGGCAGTGTACTTCAAGAACGACACCGACCGTGGAGAACTCGAAGGAGCACGCTGTTTGATTGGGATGCACAAGGGTTACCCCGAGTCAGTGCCAGCTGAAAAATGGAAGAAGTAGCAATGCCCCCTCGGCCCCGGCAAGGTGCAGCCAGCACTGCCCTGGGGGCAGCATGCCTGGCACCCAGGAGCGTGTCCCCTCCCCCCGCAACAGCCCGAGGGGAGAGTCGCACTTGGAGTTCCACTCCATGCCCTACCCAAGCCCCACACAGACACAGAAATGACTTTACACTCAGCCTGTTCCCTGCCTCTCCACAGGGGAGTCTCTACTGAAAGAGAGCCAGGAACACCCCCTTGGCACTCCCCGCCCCCCCATAAGTGCCCCCGGCAGGAGGGGCACGGAGTGTGGCTGCTCAGCCGGTGCAGGTGATGCTCTGTGGCGATCCTCCCCGGTGGAGAGTGACATTGGTCCCTGGGGGCACATGGAGGAGGAGGCAGAGCTAGGAAAGAGAGAGGGTCACAAAGGGGAGTGAAGATGCTCCTCCCATGTTCCTGAGCCAGCCAGGCCCCCCCTAGTGACCCCAGTACACTCACAGTAACACATTCCCACAGCCCCTGCCTCTCCCCACCCACAGCACTACCTTCTCCAGCCATCCGAGGAAAGTGGCGCCGTAGGATGAATTTCCTGGAGAAGACGCCTTCAGCCTCAGTTGCAAAATCATACTTGGCCCTAAGCACCCAAAAAGGATAGGTTAGCACCCGGCAACCCTGGGGTAGGGGAGGGGGGACAGGCGCCCCTTCTGCCCCACATCCCTCCACAGGCCCTCCTGTAAATCCTCAGCAGCTGGGGCACCTCAGTGTCTATCTCCGTGACCAAGGAGCCAGCCCTCTCTCCTCTGAGCCCACACGTCCAGCCCTGCACCCTCACCTGTGCCATGCGAGCCGCCAAGGAGGGTCAGGAGGAGGAAGAAGGGCAGCGCAGGCCCCATCATGGCCGCCTTACTCGGGAACTCACTGAGGAGATGGCAGGTCCCCAGCTGACCGGCCAGCCCTACACCCCATGCCCTCCCCATCCTCGGTGCAAGAGCTTGGGGGAGAGGGGAGGGGGAGTTGGGCAACTGGATTTTCCAGTTCTCCTAGTATGTCTTCAAGGACCCACAAGAGAGCCATTCCGGCTCTTGGCGATCAGTGGGTGGAGAGGGTGGCCCACTGCTTCCTCAACCCTGCATCCCACCCGCTCCTTCACTGGAGGCTTTAGGAGGTGTCCCTCCTGCAGGTATCTGGGCCCCACCCAGGCCTAGGCCTCTCGCTGCTCCTTAGGGATTAATTATTAACTGTAATTAATTCTATCACTCATGCCACCAAAGGGCTCAGGAATGTGGGCCCAAAAGGGAGGGGACAATTAGTCAAGTTCCTCCCCAAACCCAAGTATCCTGCCCAGGTGCCCCCAACCCGCAGCCACCCTGGCTTTCTAGGGGAGACATCTGGGTAATGCGGACCTCTCTCTCACCTTTGGCTTGGTTCTGTTGTTCTCCTCCCATAAAGAGCTACGGCCTTGGAACCCCCCCAGGGGCAGTGCCCCCTGTGCCACAGGGTCATGGCCATGGGGTCACTCCAGGGCAGTGAGTGCGCGGCTTTGGTTGAAGAGGTCCTGGATACACAAGTGGAGGCTGCCATTCCCAGCAGATCCTCCTCACCACACAAGGGACACCCACACTCCCATCAACACCCTCCCACCCCACGCAGGTACTCAGCATGGCCAACACAGGCTAGATTTGTAGACCTCTAGCCCAGAAAGGGAGGTCTTCCTTTAAACACCAGGAAGCTAAGCCCAGAGAGATGAGAACGCTTCCCTGGTTTCGTCAGACCCATGAGGATGTGCACACAAGTCAAGCACACCCCACAGGAATGAAGAGGTGTCCACACATACACGGCCACCTGGCATTCATCTCCCATCTGCCCCTCGATGTCTCATCCCTACCTCTCAACCCCTAGGAAAACCAGGGGGCACCAAGCAGAGAGGGGCTGAGGCAGAGAGGCCAGGGGAGGAGCTAAAAGCAGCTAAAAGGAGGGGTGGGGGCGCAGTCCACACAGTCAATGAAAACTTAGATTTCAGGCCCTTCCAGCCTCTTCTGCACGGGAGGCAGACCACGGGAGGAGGTAAGTGGACAAGAGGAACAGACCCAGGAGGAGGTTGGTGGGGGGTAGGGGGTGGCACATTGAGATGCTTCGAGATGGTGGATTTTCTTCAGAGGAGCCTGGGGACACCCCTGCTTCTTTCCCACCCCCATCACCACTCTTCGCACCCCATCCTGACACTGTGGAGGGATAGACACATTGGAATGGAACCCCAGTCAGTTGCCATGGAATTGACTCTGCCTTCAAGAAACCTCATGTGCTCCAGCGTAACTGCCCTCCGTAGGGTGGTTCCCCCCCAACCCCGCCATTAAAGTACATTTTATTCCTGAGCTAAAATAGCGTATGGCTCCAAGTGCTTCTTTAAAACTTTAAATTCTCAAAACACACAGGCATCCGTTATGAAATGTGACGCTTGCTGCCATCAGTCGACGCAGACTCAGGGTCACCCTGTGGGGCGCAGAACCGCCCCAGCGGGTGTCTGAGACTGGAGCTCCTGCCGGAAGCCGGAAGCCAGGCTTTCCCCGTGGGCTGGCTGCTGGTTTTAAACTGCCCACCAGCCCAAGGTACAACCACGGTGGCATCATCTTAACACGAGGAGTTTGGAAAGTTATTTATTGCATTTCCTCATTTAATGTTTAAATTGTGAATTAGGGGGGGATCCGCCATGGGATTTTCAACTGTCGGCTGGGGGAGGTCACTTGTCGGGCTTGTCTTCCAAGGTGCTTCCGGGTGGGCTCAAACTTCCAACCCGTCAGTCCGCAGCTGAGTGCATTCGCCGTCTGCACCAACTGGGGACTTGGCTCAGCACATCACAAACTTAGTTTCCTTGAAACACCTAGGAACACCCTTTGAAGAAGGTACTGCTTTGAGTATGTCTGAGGGTGGCTGTGTATCTTAATGGGGTCCCGACTGACTCAGTTGCCCCGACTCATGGTGACAGCAGGGGATTCCGAGCAGAATTGTGCTCCGTGTGGGTTTTTCTGGGGTCGATCTTCTTGTAAGGGGCTCTGAACCGCCAGCCTCCTGAGTAGCAGCTGAATGCATTGTCTAATTCTACCCCGCAGGTCCCATTAAACCTCTGGTCAGACCAACAGACATGCACCTACTACTTGACTGCCTCTTCTTAAAGGTCTTCCTCAGAGCCCAACGGGTCTTTCTGGGCCTCCGTAGAGCCTGGCCTCCTCTCTCCCCTTGTCCCTCCTCCCCCTCGTCTTCATTTGCAGCAGGGCAGGCTTGGAGAGCCTGGGTGGTCCTCGCCTGGGAGCGTAGGAGGGGAAGGTGAGACAAGGGGCTGTTCCCACTGGTGGCCGGACTCAGGGCAGCGTCGCCGAGAGGGCTAAGGTTCTGAGAGAAAAGAGACCCATCTGGGGACTAACAATGGAAGCCAGAGAGAGTGGACATCAGAGCCTGAGATGTGCAGGGTTCCGAAAGATGGAGCCTGCTGGGTGTCAATAAGGGGCCTGGTGGCCCTCAGGCTCGTGGATCCACAGGGTCAGGGAGAGGAGACTCTGCCCTTGGCCTGCCCTTGGTCGGAAGCCCTGAACATCTCTTCCACTGAGATTCTGTTCCCAAGATGTTAAAGAGGCGCGACACCGGAGTCCCCGAGGGAGAGGTGCACCATCATGGAGGGGAGTGAGGAAGGGAGTGGGTGGCTGAGGTCCTGCCCAACATAGTCACTGTCCCCTCTTTGCCCCTCAGCTTCAAAGCCTCTGAAGAAGGGCTCCATCCCCGACTGGCCATCGTGTTGGTCACTCTGGTGGCGGCAGCAGGAATTGTCAGCCTCCTCTGTCATTAAGAAGGTGAGTGGGACTGTGGGGACAGTGAATGGGCCCTCAAGTCAAGTGGGGCTAGGACTTGGATCCCTGCAACTCTGGCAAGAACCAGTGGTTTGGGAGGGGGGAGGGGGGAGACGACGACAATTTGCCATCCTCAGGGATGGGGAGTGGGGGGTGTTCTCAGGGGTCACTAAGAAGAAACCTTGGCCAGGGAGGCCGGGGGCACCTTGGAGGCGGTCCAGCTCACGAAGGCCTGGGATTCTGCTCCAGGGGATGGGAAGTCAGCCCTGTGGAGTCCCGTTCACCTGGATTTTGAATCCTGGCTCTACGGCTCCAAGCCGCAGTAGTAACAGCGATACTTAAAATAGCATGTATATGCTGGGTGAAAGATAGAGCTATATAGAAATCATTTCACTGGGAGCTTGCAGGTATTATAATAATCCATAATCCGATTAGATCAACCATAATTGTACAGTTGCTGCCACCATCCATTTCAAAACATTTTCTTTCTTCTTGAAGTCTTTGAAATCAGCTCTTCTGGTGCTATACATTTTTATATTTGCTTGTTGCTCACAGCAACTCAATGGGGCAGGTAGTATTACTCCCCTCATTGCACCAAACAATGTGCAAACAAGCAGCCCAGCAAACAAACAAGCGCTGACCTCACTGCCGTGGCGTTGATGCTGACTCTCAGGGACCCTCAAGGTCCTGCCTCTGTGGGTTTCCAGAACCGTCACTCTTTACGGGAGTACGAAGCCCCTTTCTTCCAGGGTCACAACTAGTCTTGAACCGCTGGTCTCACGGTTAGCAGCCCCACACATCACCACTCTCCCATCCGGGATCCTCCTGTACCAATGAGGTCATTGGCTCTCGGATCAAGGGAGAATGCTAGCATCCATCTCAAGGGGCTGTTGGGCAGGACCCATGAGCTGATGCAGGTGCTTAGTGGTGTCTGGTGCATAGTGCATTCTCAATACTAATAATAACAATGATTATTGATCAAAGGGGAGCCCCGTGGCGGGGAGCCAGCGCTCTGTGGGAACTGCTGAGGGCTGGGCGGCAGGGCTCCGGATCCCCACACTAACCTTGCTACTTACTCCTTGTCCCGTAGGCTTGCCAGTTCCGGAAGGAGATGAACATGGGGTGTGGCTGCGGCTCCTTGGCCCCTTACAGCTGCCACCATGAGGCCACCAGTCAGTGCTACACTGTCAAATGAGGGGCCAGGCCCAGGGAAGCCAGGACCCCCTTGCCCTTGCCCTTGCCCTTCTGAATTCCTCTTGCAAATAGACTCATCCCCAGACACGCCCTTCCCATCCCCACCTCGCCAACGCCCTCCAGCATCCTCCCTCCGCAGTGTACAGAGGAAGTCCACCACGCAGGCAGCGCCAGTCCGTGGGGACAGCAATTCTGCCTCCAGTCCTGCTGTGGTCTAGGGCAGGGTCCGCACACTTTTGAGAAGAAAGAGCCAACCCTGTCCCTCATGACAATTTAAAGATTATTTGAGAGCCATAAATATATTTCCACAAATGAATGCAATCACCGCTCTCTGAATAATGTCCTTAAAAATGTGCATTTTTACTTCCGAGCCACAAGTATGTATGGAAAGAGCTGCCGATACCTCTCCAGTTTGCAATCAGCCAACCCGGGGTCTGGGGGAAGCCACCCACCTAACCTCTCCTAATGCTGTGCTCCTCTTTGCACTGGGCCCCGGCTGGGTGGTCTCCTGGCCGCCCGGTTCTCACGGGGATCCGAACCTTCACCCCTCGCCCTTTCTTCCCTGCAAAGGTCAGCGATGCTTCTTAGCCGAGGACCTAGGATGTGGGCTGGGGCCAGGGTCCTTTCGTAACTCTCCCCTAAGGAACCCTCTCCCACTGGCTCGGTCCCTGCCCCATCCCTGCTCCTCCCCACTCCGGATGCTCCCTGAGACCACTCTGGGTGGGTGGCGCACACAGTGCTTGCTGAATAAAAGTGTCCCCTCCATCTGTCTCCAGCCATTGTGTATCTGGCCGAGGGCATGGCCCTGCCGCTCCCTCACCAGGCCTGTTACCTTGAGTAAGCTGGAGGTTTTCATCCGTGAACTGTGGCTGGCATTGCTCACCTCGGGGGCATCGGCAGGTGAGGTGCTCGGTACATTCTCAGTACACAGAAACACTCTTAAATCCATGGGGGTGGGGGGGCAGCGGCGGTGTCGGCCTGGCTCTGGGACCCCCCCCCAGCACAGGCACAACAGGAACCTGCCCCCCAG